GAGACCTGCGAGGACCTGCTGCAGGCCGTGCATGCCTTTGCCAAGGAGCTGGACAACTCGAGCATCAAAATAGAGAGAATTGTGCACACAGGTACGTGATTGGGCGTGGGAACAAAGCAGTCTTTGCAAGTCTTTGCTGTTTTTAAAAGGGGTACGTCGACAGTTTAGTATTTAAAGCAGCAAAGGCTTTTAGTCTTCAATATGGGTCAAGCTCCTAAAACACTGGACACTATATTTCCCAGAATGCATCTCAATAGCATCTTTTGCTAGACCCTCCCTGTCTGGTAAATTCCCATGTCTATTAAACTCCACATCCCAAGTTCATAACACAGGCTGCTGGTAAAGTTTACCAGTCTGAAGCCCAATCTGAGATAACCCCAATGAGAACATTAGGGTTGTTTTTTCAGACTTTAGAAAGCTCTCTTCAAAGCCACAGAAGCCATTCTGCAGTTATTGCAGGCTGTGGAGTACTCCTTCGGACGAGTAAAATGATCTTCATGAGTGTCCCTTCAAATTTGAAGCAGCGTATGAGCATCATTCTGTATAGAAAAATATAAAAACAATTGAGTGTACAGCACAGTGTAACCACAGTATACCATAAAATGGTAACAAAAGCCAAAGAATTCTTAATCTTGCTGCCATTTCTGGTATGAAATATAGAAAAATAAATAGTAGTAGCAAAGACAGCAAACAGTAGGGTGTATCAACAGCTGGAATAATCTTGAGGCAACTCAAGGTATTTTTGCACTTTCCCTCAACCTGCCTTGAGACAAATTGAAGAAACCAGTTCAATCAGTCTGGCATCTTACTGATCTTTGCCAAAATCGAGCTCCGTTGTTCTGGCTGTTATATTTGCCTCGGCTCTACTTGATGTTCCACTGTTTCACCTGCACCCTACCCCATCTTTGATCTTTCTTTGATCCCTTTGTATTTCATGTCTCTCCCTGTCTCTCTCTCTCTCTCAATAGTGTCTGTTCATTTGCGTCATCTCTCTTCCTCCCCAATACGTTTGTGTTTCTCCCATCTGATTCTGCACCAACCTTCCTTCTTACTTTCTTTTCATCGGTGCACAGATATTGCTACATATCATCAGTGTGACCTGCAACACTTGTTCCACTGTTCTCTCTCCGTTCCCCCGTGGTTGTTCATTGATCAATAAGGGATCATGACCATTGTTTGTCTGTCTCCCCTTACAGGCGACTTTGGGGAGGTGTGTCGTGGCTGCCTGAAGCTGCCCAGTAAGAGAGAGCTGCCGGTGGCCATAAAGACATTAAGGGCCGGCTGCTCTGACAAACAACGGCGCTCCTTTCTCAGCGAGGCTGGCATCCTGGGGCAGTTTGACCACTCCAACATCATCCGGCTGGAGGGTGTCATCACCACCGGTAAACAGGATGGGAGGGAGATGAAGCAGAAAGCAGAAGGTGAAAGGCAGTTTGGAAGTAAAGGTGATACCACTGGGAAAAGAGTGGGAAAACAAAGGAGAGCGGGTGAAGATAAAAAGAAGCATAGAGGGGGGATACATCCTGGGTATTGAAGGATCAAAGGAGTAATGGGACAGTTTGACCACCTTCAGTATCATAAAGGGGGCTGATCACCTCCATTAGCAAGAAAGAAAGGATAGGGAAAAAAGAAAATAAAGCTGTAGGGAAGCAGAATAGGATAAAACAAGCAATTGGAATTTGACCATTTCAATATCACACGTTCGGAGGGGGGGTCATCACTTCTTGTAACTATGGGGAGAAACGGGAAGAAAACTGGAGGAGTAGCAAAAGGGCAATGGACAGGAGAGAGAGGATTGGGAGGAGCACTGCGATACTCCGACCACTTCAATATCACACGAACGGAGGGGGTCAGTGCCTACAGTGAAGAGGGCAGGACGGGGGGATGGAAAAGAAGAAAAGGTTGAAGAGTAGAGAGCAGGGTGGCGCGATGGATGCCATACGCTAGCAGCAGCTGAGCTACATCAAGGCCCATTTTCCGCTGACAGATAGCAATTGAGGTCCTAGAGCGAAAACAGGATGGAAGGAGGGGGGGACTTGAAGGGAGGAGATGGAGGAAAGAGACATGAGAGACAGAGAAGATGAGGTAGAGGTTAATGGGAATGGCAGGTGAAGGGAGAAGCTTTAAAGAGTTTGTGAAGTTTTTGTTACTGCCGCAGTGATGCTCAGTGTGGTGTGTGTGTGTGTGTGTGGGCACAGTGCCCGAACACACTGTGCTCAGTAGGATGGCAGCAGATGTGCAGGGTACAGTAATTGGTGCTAGAGACCCAGCGGGGCACTGAGATCCACTCCAATCTCTCCCACCATCACGTGCACAAACACACACACACACACACACACACACGTCAGTCCCATATGTTCACCTTCTCTTTCACTATCATTGACACACACACACCTGCTTGCTTGTCTCCTCACTTGGCATGAAATCACACATCCGTGCACACAAACAGTACACACCCACACCTACCGACTGTTAGACTACAAATCACCTGCTTTACATCACTTACCCCCCACCAGATCCTCACCCAGCCCTCTTCCATCCCTCCACCACCTGCAAAGAGCACCCACCTCTTTACTACTCTTCTCTTAATCTTAATTTAATCATCCTCACCATAATTCAAGGCCACATGAAAACATGGGCGCATACCACTAAGTCGAAAAGCGTCCTCCTTTCCTTTCTATCCTGTCCTTCTTTATATGTTGCTTTTATGACCCACCATTTGCGCTACCTTCTAACTGGGAGTTCCAGGATTATAGGCAGTGGTACATACTGTTAGTAAAAGCACCAATACCACAATGTATTTACCTCCAGTTTAATACGGGCTGTTATACTGGTCTGGTTACTAAATTAATCCAGCCAATCAGAATCCAGAATTCTCAGTGGCCATTGTATGAACTCCATTCACTGTATTTTTTAACAAAGCCACTTTACAGTATGTATTAGCATTCATACATTATAATGTAATCTCAAAACAGTTTGAAACTCTCGGCTACAGTGAAGTTCAAGGATTTGCTTTTCAATATGTATTCAAATCATGACTTACAAGTGCCTATGACTGGATGAATTTGTGTTTGTGTGCAGCAGGAGACAGCACTTATTACTCCGTCCTCCCACCCCCTTCTCTCTTTCACTCTGTCACACACACACAGGTTTTCCTCGCTCTGCATTTCTGTCAGGATTTGCAAACTTATGTGACATCCTCTTTAGCAGGTAACCATTTGACACAAATGATAGAATTCAACATTCACTCTCCAACTCGCATTAATTACATGATTGCTGGCATTTTATGACAGTGTCTCTGTGCCGAGTGTTGTTGGTCACCTTTTCAAATAGCTTCCTGAAAGTCCAGTAATACTGGCAAACCACGAATTGTGGATATTACAATGCCAGGGTTTTTATTTTTTTTAGATATTAAATTGTTTACATATCTATCAAGGTTCATCTAACTGTCTCAACCTCCCATAATCCACTTCTTCTTTCCTCTCTCCTCCAACTGCTGCAGTCTTATTTTCCTCCTCTGTGCACTTCATAGCACTGCTGGATCCCTGCCATCTGTGCCTGGGCACAGTGTGTATGTGTGTGAGCATGCATGTGTGTAGTGTATATGAACGTGCATACCTGGACTGTACTGATCCGTGCGTACAGTTGAGCGCAGATTGTGTGTGTGTGTGTGAGTCTTTGAGGGTCGTTAAACTTGCTGAGACAGCCAGGGCAGCACACAGGTTCTCCTGACTTCACCACAGTTCACTGGGTGAGGAATGGCTTTGCACAATGCCTGCCGTGCTGCCAAGTGGACTAGACTCACTTTATTCTCTCTCACCCTCCCCGCTCTCTGTGTGTCTCTGTCTCTATTACCTCTCACTTTCTTTTTTCCCCCCTGATTCTCTCCATTTTATTCATTTTAATCTGCAATTTCCTTTACTCTACTGTCCTGCTCTCTTTGTCTTTCTCCAGGTAACACCATGATGATCATAGTGGAGAGCATGTCTAACGGAGCCTTAGATTCCTTCCTTAGGGTACGTTTTTTTTGTGTTTATCTGTATGCATTCATCTGAAATGTACATGCAGACATGTTTTCTCATCATCTAATAACACAATTTAAGCCTCATCATTCTTGTCTGTTTTTGAGCCATAAGATATTTTATTCTAATAAACCTAAATTTACTGTTATTATAACGCAGTCCTAGGGCGGCAATGCTTGTGCTTATTACAGTAATAAGGAAAATGTAACATAATTAACTCCACAAATGGAGTGTTTTCTGCTTAAAGATGCTGTAAGCGTGTGTAAACTGTTATTGTGCCCCTCTGCTCTGTGAACAACTGCAGCTTGGTTTATAATGATATGAATTAATGGCCTGTTTGTTTTTATTCTCCAAATAAAGGGATTCAGCTCAGTGAGCACAACATTGTACTATAGTAACAGATGTGTCGCCTTTTTTTGGATCACTACATGCATACTATGTACACTCATCCTCTCCTCTCTACTATCCTTTCCTTTTTATTCACCCCCCTCCCTGTTTTTCATTGCTTTTTTCTCATTTTCCATCTTTTTTTTTCTTTTTTCCCCTAACCTCAGAAACATGAGGGCCAGTTGAGTGTAATGCAGCTGATGGATATGCTGACTGGGGTGGCATCAGGGATGAAGTACCTCACTGAAATGGGCTTCGTCCACAAACGGCTGGCCGCACACAAGGTAAGGGAGCAGGTGGGAGCGGATGATAGAGGAGAGGGTGTAGGGTGATGTATGTCTCACACTTGCAAGTTTTCACAGGTGGGTTAGAAAATACAATTTGTCCTTGTCTGCAGACGTTTTCGACAATCACCTGCCGGCAGGTTTTTATTTGAGTGATACACAAAGCTGAAAATGACGAGACACTACTGTCCAAATTGTTTTGTCACATCCAGATTTCACTGTTTGGCATTTTCCTAAAAGAGCCTGTCTGTCAAACTGCAAAATGCAGTGGTCATGTTGCGGAAAATGAAGAACAGGACTATTTGTTCTTGTAAACAATCAATCAGTCCCTGGTGCGACGGGAGCTTTGCCCATCAGGGTGGTGAGCTCTCACGCTGAGATTGTTTCCCCCCCAAATGTAACCAATGCTAATCAGTTTGTTTTCCCACTCTCAGGTGCTGGTTAACTCCAACCTAGGCTGCAAGGTATCTGGCTTTAGACCTCTTCAGGAGGACAAGATCGAGGCCATCTACACCACACTGGTGAGAGAAAACCGCAGTTAAAATGTCGACTGGATTTTACTGGATATTTTACATTCCATTCCTAATGAATGACCCTCAAAAGCAGCACAAAGCCCGTTGGTAGGAAGTTCACACATGTAAGGGTGATATTTTTAATGAGCCTTGGACCAAATGAGAGTTAACACATGTCATGTCGGGTTCAGTTGAGGTCATATAATTAAGCTGTCACAGAAAAAATATTTCAGCTGCTTTATTTCCCTGGATATTTTTGGGTTCCACTCAAGGTGAACCTGCTCCTCTAAAGATTCTTTTGATCTACTGAAAATATGTTCAAAGCTTTTCAAAGAGAATATTAAAACGTTACTTTTGTGAACTCTCCACACCCTTTTACTCCTGTGTCTTACCTCTCCGCTCCTCTCCTGCAGCACGGAGGGAAGAGTGTGGTGCTGTGGACTGCTCCGGAGGCCATCCAGTACCATCGCTTCTCCTCAGCCTCAGATGTCTGGAGCTTCGGCATTGTCATGTGGGAGGTCATGTCCTATGGAGAGAGACCCTACTGGGATATGGGCAACCAGGATGTAAGTGTGTGTGTGAGATAGGAGGGTGCTTTCCATTAATCTCTCCAGTCATTTCCTTTATATTCCTTTACCAGTCTCTCTCTCTCTCTTTCACCTCCCTCTATCAATGAACTCTGTATCCATGCCCAGCTTGGATCTTATTAAAAGAAAGCCAAGAAGCCACAGTACCTCTGAAAGCTTTTGCAGGGCCTAAGTCCCCCTCTTTAAGTCCGCATCAGCTCCATGACCAATCCTGTTTTCTCTTAAGGACGCATTGACCCCCTTCAAGTGGTCTCCTCCTGTCCCCGGGTGCCATCTTGCTCTTAAAAGTGTTAAAAATCCCTCTGGAAAAATTCTCTGAGGAAATGTAAAGCGCTTGCTGCTATTTGAGGGTTGAAGATTGTCCAGTCGATAGGACCCTGCCACTTATCACTACAGACCTATAATTTCCAAGTCAATGTGGGTGGGTGCTCTGTTTTGCTCTCGTCACTCCTACCTCTTTGTCCTTCTAAAATAAAAAGGTTGTTTTTATTCTACTTTCGGAAGGAAGTCATGCTTCTAAAGTGCAGTTGAGAGCATGATGCAAGTCTGCTAAGAGACAGGCCAGAGAGCAGATTATTCGTCGGGACTATTTTTCTTTTTATTTGAAGCCGACAACACAAAGTATGAGAAGATAATGATCATTTTAAGAATAATTATCCAGAAGCTCAATCATGCTAATGCCCTCTCAAATTACTGTCATAGTAAAATAATGCCTACACTTTATGCACGCAGGTGCATAGTTAAAAAGCAGCGAATTATTAGCATGTTCCATTTTTGAATGTCCAAAATTAATATGCATGAGTTATTCAGCAGCATAAGAAAAGCTAGCTTTTTACAGCGTCTTTTTTTTCATTTTCCTGTTGCCCTTTCACAAAGCAGGAGAAAGTTTCCTCTCAGCCTGGTTCATATTATCAAACTTTCCAATTGAGAGGGCAAAGGTCAAGCTTGTAGAGCGCCAGGGATATTAATCCACTTTAAATTGATACATTATATCATAACAGAATTGTTGGTCGGCCTGTCCACCTGTGATCCGTCGTGACCTTTACCTACCGACTTTGATTAAATGGAAAATGTCAAATGCTGAAAGGCATTTTATGAATGCTCTTTAGTGAGATAGGAGCTTAAGGGGCTGAGAGGATGGTGGAGTGGGGAGGTGGGTGGTTAGGTAGAGAGAAGAGAGTGTTTTAGGAAATAATGCCGCTGATGGATGTCATCTTTGTGATTATACTCTGACTTTATTTCCTCCTTTCAGGAGATTGTATTTCTTAGAGTGATTCAGGAGGAGGACGTATCGCATGTCCCTTTATATACTGAGAGGAAATCTCGTGAGGTGTTGTGGTGGACGGGGCGACATTAGTTTGATGGAGGAGCGAGGAACATTGAGGAAGTGGAGTGAGGCTTTCATGCTCTGCTATTTGAAGACAGCGAGGTTTCACTGGGATGGATGAAACATGCTGAGTTGAGATGAATCATTGTATTTAGTAGCTTATCTTTTAGAGTGGGTCAGGTACAAGAAAACACTGGCTCTTGTGGTCTGTTTTCTTCATCTCTGTAATTGCTCTCCTATTTCAAACCTGTCTGGATTGTTTTTATTCACAGGCCTAGAACATATTGTATTATAGGAAATTAAAATGTTATAATATATAATCCAGTTTTCTGCTGATAGGAGCCCAACTATTGTGATACCCAATCAAATATCCTGTGAAGTGACACTAAGAGACATTGAATATCCTGTTAAGTGACCTTTCAGACCACATTCAAAGTCAGTCAGTTGGGACGGATTTTGCATTGTTCAGGTTTTGCAGGAATAACGTCTCTTTCTAATAATAGTCGCCTATTTGCTGTATGGTTCTAGTTCTTTGTAGTAGTTTTAGACATTAGCGAAGACTTGTAGTCCGCTCATATTGTTTAGCTTAGCAATGAATCTCTGTGACATTCTGTTTGTTTTGCAGTTGATGCTAGCTTGGTGACCTTACAGGATGCTGCCTTAAAAATAACTTAAATGACTAATAAACAGCGAAACAATGCATTGGAGCATTATAGGTGGTGTAATTACTGACAAGAGAAAATGAGAGCACCAGCACTTTTCTACTCTTATTTATCCAAGTAGGACCTTCACTGTCCAACCGCTTCTATTCTTGGCAACTAAGCAACTTTTAAATACCTTACTCGACTTTTTAAGTAGGACAAAACTTTTTTTTTTACTTAGTTCCCCCATCTTGCCCTACCAGTCACAAACATGCTCTTTTGAATATGTGTCCAATTATAGTACAAATACTGGTAAATCACAACATTAATTCTAGAGTCTCTACCCTGATATAATTGTTTTCCTTCTTCTGCACGTCCTGTAGGTGATCAAGGCCATTGAGGATGGTTTCAGGCTGCCGGCTCCAGTTAACTGCCCTCCACATCTCCATCAGCTGATGCTGGACTGCTGGCAGAAGGAGAGGACAGAGAGGCCCACCTTCAGCCAAATCCACTCAGCCCTCAGCAAGAGCATTCGCTCTCCCGATGGCATTGGTTCCTCCACACTGGCACGCAGGTATGGTCTGGTAATACGGATCGCTGAATATATTATTTCCACAAAGTTTTTCCTTTCTCCACACCTTCAACCCTATTTCTTGTCCTCTAGAACCCTGAGTTCATCCATTACGCTAGCAGAAAGGCCTCTCCCCTCCTTCCCATCCTTTAACTCAGTGGGAGAGTGGCTGGATGCAGTGGACATGGGCCGATACAAGGACAACTTCACTGCCGCAGGATACTGCTACCTGGAGTCTGTGGCCCGAATGACTGTACAGTAAGTGGTTTTACACAACTCTGTCTCAGTGACCTTTCATTTCCTCTTTAAGAGAGGGTGGCTAAGTGAGATAATAAGAGAACAGATCATTAAAAAGATAGCTGCATAAATAAATAAATGACTTGGGGAATAATGTCCACTCTATTTCTTGATATGAATTGCTTTTTTAAATCTTGACTATTAAAGATAATATTTGCACAACTGAAAAAAGTCTTGAGTGACATCTAAATGGGTAAAAATGGATAAATCAGAACCGATTATTTGTTAGACCAAAAAAATATTAGCAACTATTCTGACGATTGATTAATTAAGGTTGTATTTTTAAGCAAAAATCTAAAATATTCTCTGGTTCTAGCTTTTTAATTTTGAGGATATTCTGCTAGTCTGCTGATCATTTTTAGCATAGAAATGTATGTTATTGTGGGCAGGGCTCATATGATAATAATAATAATAATGAGGACCAGTCAGGTTTTGGCAATTCTTTAACATGATAATGATAGTTTGATCCAACCACACCCTATATAGTCCAAATTAAGAGATAAACTGAGTTTTTCAGTGATAAATTAATGAATATTTAATGTTATAGAGAAATACTTAAGAGAAGCTTTTTAGTGGCTTTAAAACATAAGCGTGAGCATATGATTATTAGAAACACATTTTTCTCTGCGGTCATAGAGTCACTCAACCTATCTATTGACATACAGTCCATGTTGCATCTTTTTTAATAATCTTGGTAAATATTGATCTCTGTGTCCACAGAGATGTGCTGAGCCTTGGCATCACTTCCCTTGAGCACCAGAAGCTGATACTGGCTGCCATCCAGACCCTCAGAGCCCAGGTCATCCAAATGCACGGGCGCGGTGTCCAGGTCTAACCAACAAGTCAACACACCCAGTCTCACACTGCTGCTGCGACCCACACATATGTGCAGATGGATGATGGGGTGGAGAAGAGGAGAGCGGGAGAGAAAGAGAGTGCTCTCCCAAACTGATGGAAAGATGAGCAGAACTTTCAGCTAACTGCACACCTCTATCTACTCCTCCTTCCCACACTTCTTCATGCCTTCCTTGATTCCTTACTTCCTTTTTTCTAACAGTCCCCTCAGAGACAGGCGGCGTTCCTGTCGCGATTGGGGGAAAGCAGAGGAGTGATGTCACGTGACTTTTTTTTGTGACCTCTATCTGCACTTTGACCTTCAATAACTGTGTCAGCTCCTTCTCACTGGTTCTGGATTAGTGCGTAAAAGACAAATGAAATATTGTCTGTAGCAGGAGAGGCTGTCTGAAGCTGACCTCTGAGCAGCAGCAGGGGCACAGATCTACTGCGCTGCAAACATGGTTATGGACGAGCGCTCAAAGAAACATTAACATTTTGAGTAGAATTTCCCTTTACCACAACACCGATTCACTAGGAACAATATATTGTTAAAGCTAGGAACTATTTTACTGGCCTTGTATCATTTTACTCTCTTCTCAGAACTGGCACAGCTGATTTCACATCAAACAGGAAGTGATGTACGAGGACACGTAATCATATCATTGTATGTCAGAGCTGATCTCATATCAGAAGGTAAAAGAACATTTCTGGAGATTAAACATGGCTGGAATGTAACGTATGGTTTTAGAGCGGCAGCTTAAGGAGACTGTGCTGTCCCATGTCGAGGGTCCAGTGAGTCTGAGGTTAGAGTTGGATGAGGCCTCAAAAGCATACAGTATAGTCCTATATTCAGTATATTAAGTGTGCTGATGGGATGAAAAGAGCTCCAGTAAGTTATGGGCGATGATTATACTGTACTTTCAGGAACATCAGCCTGCTTTTTTTTTCCTTTGGGGTTAAACAAAAGCTGCAGGATACAACTGTAAAGCAAAAGGTTGAACATGTGTGTTTGATTGTTAATTAATTTGTTGTATGTCGCTGTCTGTTTCGCTACTCTCGATTCTATTTTCTTCATTTCCTTTATCTTCCTCTTCCCCTCTATGCTTTGAAGTTGTTTTCTTTGTGCATTTAAAGCATCTAATTTTCCCTTTTAGCCTGCTGAATGTCATCTCGGTAACATAATCCTCCTCTCCAAAGCCTCTCTCACTACCGTGTTTAATACTCTGTATAGAGCACGGGCCAACTCTGGAAGATGGCCTGATTCAGATATTTATCCATATTTATTTATGTTTACAGACTGTAACACAAATCTCTCAAGAAAAGAGGTTAGGGAAGGCTTATTTATTTAATTAGTATTTTAAAAAACATGTTGAGCAAAGCAGTAGTCGCCTCTTGTTTTGTTGCTTTATTATATGACTATGAGTTTATACCTGAACAGATGAGTTGTTTTGTACACAGGAAGTGGGAGGAACACTGGATGATTTTTACTGTCAGCACACAGTATCTGTGTATTCTTGAACACTGGATTTGATACAGTTAATTTTATGTCCATTATCATTCCATTATCATTGGATTTGCTGTATACATTACAGTGTGTGTGGCAGTATGGATACAGTATTACAGAATGTCATATGGACTTTTTCCTTGTAGCTGTTGGATTATCATTAATTTTGTGTTGCTGTTAATATCAAGCTCTGCCATGCTATGTGGTTGCACTTTTTTCCAGTTAACTCCCAGAATTCTCTCTGCACAGTGATCTGCCCCTCGCCTTTTCTGTCCTATTTCAATACAGGAGACTTGAAGGAAGAAGTTTATTGGGGACTTACCTGATTATCATACAGTTTCACAATAGAAGCTACATACATTTTTAACTGGAATATTGTAACTGGTTTGTATTTGGTACAAATAGATTTTTTTTTTGTTCTTTCTCCTTGTACTCTCCTCTCTGTAACCGTTTTGTCAAATGAAATGAGCTCATATGTCCTTATAGATGTTATCACGCACATGTTAAGATATCTGGAGAAACACTGATAGTCCCTTTATACACACACACACACACACACGCACACACAAGACTACAAAGACACACACGTGCAGTCGCTAACACTCAACAAACTGGACCTTGTCGCCATAATGAATTAAAACTCTTATTTGTTTGCCCTCTCTATCCCCCTTTCTGTTACTGTGACCATCATGATATGTTTAATACTGTACATATGTATTTGAAAATGCTAAATCTATTTTTATAATTTGTTTGAAGAACAATGTGTTGAATATAATATCTGCTCACTGTGTAAGGGTTTTATTTGTTTGAATTTTAGGGCCATAGCCAAGAAACTCTGGTGTTTGGAATATAAAACTGAAAAAAAAAGTTTCTTTTTTTGTTTTTTGATGATTTTTACCTGTTAGAAGAAAATCTGATGGCTGTTGCAATATTGAAACGTGTTATTAAAAAATCTCCAATACAAGCAAATGGTTTTACTCCTCGTCTTCCATTTTGGGATTTGATGTAATCTGGATTTTTTTTAGGCCAATATTGATATTTGAAAGTTTCAAAAACGTATTATATAATAATTTTTATTACCATAATTATATTTACCTTTTTTTTCAATAATTGTAATAAAGATATGTATAGACCAACTGACATTTTACAGTTGGAAATTAAACTTGTGCCCTCTGGTGGACAAACTATGTAATCACAACATTGTTTCTAAATTACTTCATATTTTGGCATTTCAATCTATACTGACATTTCCTGTTTTTCCCCAACATATACACTAATGGCAACATATCTGCAATAGGATCGAGGTTAGGATCACTCAATATACATGTAAGGTTTAAATCACACATAACATTACAGTTAAAATGAAAGTCAAATTATAATACTTTTTACATGCTACTTTTGTGGCATTCTTACTTAAACATTCTCAGATAGAGGCAGTAATAATATGAAAATTATTTGCAATTTACCTAAACACTGACCACGGGGTTAAAGTCGATAACTGTTACCTGTTGGTTTTGTGCAATTTAACTGTTGACAACAAAGACTACTAGCTAATAAACATGTATGTTAACAATGCGCATGTTAATATATGAAAATTATGGCATTTTAGAGATGTGTGCCCTCCACCCCAACACTATACGGACCTTACCATGAGCAGCTTTCACTTTCATGGGAACTATTCGGTAGAAAGTAGTCCCAATAAAAAAATTTTTTTAGTGCTGTTCAAGTTCAAGTTCAATTGACCTTCACTGTATTGATGTGGCAGCAGACATTTTTACTATATCAAACTCTGGCCAAATAAAAGGTAAACTACAGGTAAGTAAGTAAATGTTTTTGGTGTTTTTTTATCATTTAGGAATGAGGTCTAAATGAGAAAACTCTATTATCCATTTACTATTTAACTTTTGATGCAAAGGAATGAAACTACAGTCCTTTAGAGCTCAGTCATTCCTCTGACCGTAAGGCTACCTGGGCCTCTTGTACTAACGTATCTATGTGTTATGAAGTTAAAGCCCTGTATCCACTTACAACAGAATTCAACTTTCGGTTGGTTCGTGGTTTTCTCTTACTCTCTTCTCTACCATGTGCACTCATTAAGTCTCTCTCTCCGGGACTGAGGTTATATTAGTTACTGCTTTATTACACCCACCTTTATACTATCACTGAGCGTATGGGAAATTTTTGTAAATGCAAATGGGCTTTGCGTGGGATTGCCGTGGGCAACTGTGTGGGTGGGTAGAAGTGAGTGTGCTGGTACGTACCTCTGTGCCTGCTTGCATGGGTCGGTGTGTGCGCATAATATTGTGCACGCACTGTATGTGTGTTGGCAGTCCATGGGCATACATTTGAGAATGAGATCTTTTTATTTATCTCATACAGTTGCAGCAGCAATCCATACTTTTTATATTACAGTCTTATTGGAGTTGAGGATTGGAGTTTGAGACTTAATGAGTTTCATCTCTGAGCCATCGCTGGCTGCAGCTTTCTAAACCTCCCACGCAATCAAACATCACCTCCTTCAGATGCTGCTTAGCAGACCTTAGCATCTGAACTCCCGCTGTAACAACACTAGATTTGGATCATTCATTATCGGAGGCTTTTCATAGATTTCTTTCTCGCGTTCAAGATATAATGTGATGAAGACACAAAAAAAAAAAGCTTATTTACACAGCAGGTTCATTAAGATTCTGTCTAAGAGACAGGAACATCCAGAATGTAACTAGTGTCTCTGAAGAAATGTTTACGCATTTATTTATAAGATAGAAACAAAATGTCAAATTGTATCAAAAATATAGCTGTAAAAATATGTTGCTTATCTACATAATATAAATTATGAAATTCTAATAGCCCTGACACTTGACTCCTGACTGCTCTGGGTCAAGAGCTATGTGAGCAGCTGCACACATGCTAAATGAGCCGAATAGAGGGCCTAATCAACTGCTCTCTACTTCCTATTCCCTTGCGGTACAATATAATAAATGCTATTCATTTGAGTGTGATGTTTTAGTATGCAAACATAGGAACATCATCATATCCCACAGTAACTCTCCTCAGCGGCGAGGGGGTTTTGTGTTAGTTGGTATTTTATCAGGCTTCTCACGGTTTGAGTGTAAATCTTCAATCAGATTTGCCTGTTTATTCACTGTAAATGAGACTGGGACGGGGAGACGGGTAGGGATTCTTCCAAGAGATTAAAGCAAATCGCGCTGGATTGTTGGAATATGGATTGTTGTACCTGAAAACCATCACTTTCTCAAAATACCCTCAAAGACTACACTTTTAAGACACGGCCTTCGAATAACTTAGAGTAAATTAAAATACACTAAATATGATTCCGGCTAAGTGTAAGTAATCTATAAGTAAGTAGATTTCCTTTTAGAATTAAACTTCAGAAAGAAATATGAAAGAAACTACAGTGAGCCTAACACCAACAATAATTTCAATAATCAGCAAAAATGCCAAAATTCTGGGGTGGAACTGAAACGATCAGTTGATAAATTAATTAGTCGCACAACATAAAAAATGAATCTCTACCAACTTTGGTTTCAGTTTCTAACCCTAACCCCCCCTAAATAATTCAACCTATGAGTCAATTACAACACATCTGAAGATAATTCATTGAAAAACTATTGATAGAATTATTAATAATAGAAATAATCATTAGTTGCAGCT